GGGGGGGGGGGGGTTCAGTGCTTCAAAGTACTAATGTATGTCGTTCCGTATTCAGGTACATGAAAAACTAGTGATAAGTATTTGTGCCTATGCATAATATATTATAACTGATTGATCCTCCATAATAGTGATGAAGTATACAACATGCATCTGTTTTATGATTTGTGTTTTCATCTTCTGATTCGTATATGTTTTGAAAAGATTATATGATATATGTTCTGTTGTGTGTAAAAAAACTATGTATTGAGCGTACTATATTGTGATTTCATAATATTACTTATTGGGATATTTTATTTCACCCTTCCTATCACCCTCTAGATACAGAAGATACCACTGCAGAGTGAGCGGTGATACATAAAAAATATCTGAAGCCTAAACTCTGATATTAAGGTTACTATTTCTTATTTTTATTTAGTAATAAAAGTAAGGAAATTTAAAATTTCGTACATATGTTTATGTTTTATATTTAAGGAATATAATGCTTCCGTGACTCTTTTATTATTAATAAATTTAAATTATTTTAATTAATTGAAGTTTATATGATTTAAAGAAATATGTTCTGGTTATTACCTTATAAGACGAGGTGTGTCACAGTCCGTGACAATTACAATTCATCATTAATTTTAATAATAAATATAAATAAGAACACAAAAATCAGTAATAAAATTATGTTAAAATTCTGTGCTAATTTATAATTTAATAATAAAATTATTAATTTTATTAAAACATCATAATTTTAATTTCTTAAACAGATTAAACTATATTTGTAAATATTTATGCACTTACCTTATTTTCGTTCTAGAATCTATTTCTTGAAAATTTTTGTGAATGTGAAATCTACTCTGTTCACTGTGTGTTTTACTTCAGTCAATAATGTACCCATATTAGCTCGTAAATCACATTCTGGATTGTCTAAATGAACCATCAACCTAAGTATAAGCAGATATTAATTAAATTTAAAGCGTTCAAGGTTTTCGGGCTTTGAAACTCATTGTGCGTACCCATCGGAATCTCCACACGTGCCACCACACGTCGTCACTTGCGTCATACGTGCCACTGCCGGACCACCATGCGTCACCGCCAGAACCGCCACTCGCCGCCGCGAACTCACAAAAATACCGTAGAATGCGTCGCGCATACTGATCCGGCACGGATCCGCTGAAAAACGCGCCGGAAAGAGCCACAGATCATGAAATCACGTGTCGACCCGCAGCGCGCTGATCGTCTTCTCCGGCCACGCACCGTTGCACGTTCTTTCTCACATCTGGTCGCATATCACACCTCTCTGTTGTGCCGCCCTTACAGAACTGGTCCGCACAGCTCCTCTCTCTCTCTCTCTCTCTCTCTCTCTCTTTATAGCCGGAGAAGAGCAGAGTCCCGCACGACTCTTTCTCTTTCTTCTCCGGTTGCCATCATCCTTCCTTCTTCTTCTTCCAACCAGGGGCGTGTACTTCTCTAGTTCTCTTTTTTTTTTTTTTTTTCTGTTTTGTTTCTTTTATTATTATTATTATTATTATTATTATTTTTTTTTTTTGACACCCAACCCAGTTTCGTCTTTGAATATCAATTAACATAATTTATTTTATTTAAAATGTATGAAGATTTCTATTATATTATTATCACATTTTCACCAAAATTTTATAGCAGATATCTTATAAAGCATGTTTACAATTGTATCTAAAATATAATTATTTTTCAAGATTAATGAGCTACATGTTATATAATACATTTTGATATTACCTAATATGAAGTACATTCTAAAAAACCCTTAAAAAAACCAAACCTAAAATCTTGCTTAAGCTT